CTACATCTTACGGGACTACAGAAACTACATCTTACGAAAACTACACAAACGACATCTTACGGAAACTACGGGAATGACATCTTACGGAAACTACATCTTACGGAACTACGGAAACTACATCTTACAGAAGCTACGGAAACTGCATCTTACAGAAACTATGGAAACTACATATTACAGAAACTATGGAAACGATATGTTACGGAAACTACATGTTACGGAAACTACATCTCCCAAGATTCAAGAGCATCGAACCATGGCAATTGCAGTAGCATTATTTCTATTGAGTAAATGTACTTTTTGTCTCTCTGCCAGTGTGCTAAATCTGTACAAAACTGGAACAAACTCATTGTCCATCTGATGTTAATGATACAGCAAAACCATTTGAAGGATTTGTTCTATAGATAAGATCTTTTTGTATCTTGCATTGGCCAGAAGAGAGGCTGAACGCATTGAATATGTTGTCTGCGTACATCTGAAGCGTTCAATGCATCCCAAAGCATTGTGTTTCTCCACATGCGCAGCTTGTAAAAACGGACCCATAAAGCCCAGCCTTGAAAGGAATCCATAAAGACCTGCTTTGAAGTGTGTTTTCTCCCCATAAACATGGTTTTGTTCACCCCGCACTTAAAATACATGCTTTTGCATTTACAGGTTCTTCGGCTTGCTTTGGTCAGGAGCCCAAGATGCTAGTAAAAAACATAAATAACCTGAGCAAACGTCGTTCCAGCAAGATGGGTGAGACTTAATAGCCCACTTTAAGGCGAAATGTGCCTATTATGGTCCAATCCTGTCCTGAAATGGATGTAAACAGGGTGCTTACATTGATCGGAACCCAAGATCTATATCTGATTGTGAAATCAAACTGTGGTGGAAATTTCTTGCTTGGATGGCTGGATGACCATCTATTGAGGTGGCCTTGATTGTGTTTTTCTTGCCTGGCAGAAGGATGGGGGGTTGGACTGGATGGCCTTTGGAGGTCTCTTCCAATTCTGTGAATACACTTGGATATAGTTAGGTGACCACTGGTGGTCCATGGACCACAAGTTGGGAATCACTGCTGCAGATGGTCCACTTTTTGCAGGAGTATCACAGGGTCGGGAGGACAATAGCTTTATAAATAAGCATCTTGGCCTCCCTACAAATGTCCCGATCCTCAAAACCGCTTCATTCGGAAGAATGCTGCACTAGCAGAGCTCAGGCAATGTCCAGACCACCATGTCGGAAGAATGCTGTACGCACAGAGTTCGGGCAATGTCCAGATCACCATGTCGAAAGAATGCTGCACTCGCAGAGCTCGGGCAMTGTCCAGATCACCATGTSAGAAGAATGCTCCACTCGCAGAGCTCRGGCAATGTCCAGATCACCATGTCGGAAGAATGCTSCACTCRCAGACCTCGGGCAATGTCCAGATCACCATGTCGGAAGAATGTTGCACTCGTAGAGCTCGGGTAATGTCCAGATCACCACGTCAGAAGAATGCTGCACTCGCAGAGTTCAGGCAATGTCGGAAGAATGCTCCACTCGCAGAGCTCGGGCAAAGCCCAGATCACCACGTCGGAAGAATGCTGCGCTCGCAGAGCTTGGGCAATGTGCAGACCACCATGTCGGAAGAATACTGCACTTGCAGAGTTCTTGCAATGTCCAGATCACCACGTCGGAAAAATGCTGCACTCACAGAGCTCGGGCAATGCCCAGATCACCACGTCGGAAGAATGCTGCACTYRCAGAGCTCRGGCAATGCCCAGATCACCACGTCGGAAGAATGCTGCACTCACAGAGCTCAGGCAATGTGCAGATCACCATGTCGKAAGAATGCTGCACCCGCAGATTTTGAGCAATGTYCAGATCACCATGTCGGAAGAATGCTGCACTCGCAGAGTTCAGGCAATGTCCAGACCACCCTGTCAGAAGAATGTTGCTATCGCAGAGCTCGGGCAATGTCCAGATCACCATGTCGGAAGAATGCTGCACTCGCAGAGCTCAGGCAAYGTCCAGATCACCAGTCAGAAAAATGCTGCACTCGCAGAGCTCGGGCAATGTCCAGATTACCCTGTCGGAGGAATGCTGCACTCGCAGAGTTCAGGCAATGTCCAGATCACCGTGTCGGAAGAATGTTGCACTTGTAGAGCTAGGGCAATGTCCTGATCACCACGTCAGAAGAATGCTGCACTCGCAGAGCTCGGGCAATGTCCAGATCACCCCATTTCTTAAGGTTGGCTCTGCATCTCGTGGTGCCAGAGCGCAGTCTGTTCAGCGCCTTCCAAGTCGCCCAGTCTTCTGTGTGCCCAGGGGGGAGTCTCTCATTTGGTATCACCCACGGTATTGCACCACCTGACAGCCTCCGGGAAGTTGCAGCCAATAGTGAAAGGACCAAGGCAGAGACATCTCCAGTTCATCCTCTGTTTGGGTATCAGCCAGCACGTCGACGACTTAAATCAAGAAATAGTTTTCTTAGATCTACAGAGACACTCGCTGGAACACCTCAGCAAGCGAGAGTCCAAAAGTGGCAGGCTCAAACCCAGCACCTCAATCTGTGGGTGATACCAAATGAGAGACTCCCCCCTGGGCACTCAGAAGACTGGGCGAGTTGGAAGGCGCTGAACAGACTGCGCTCTGGCACCACGAGATGCAGAGCCAACCTTCAGAAATGGGGCCACAAAGTGGAATCCTTGACATGCGAGTGCGGAGAAGAGCAAACCACTGACCACCTGCTGCAATGCAACCTGAGCCTTGCCACCTGCACAATGGAGGACCTTCTTGCAGCAACACCAGAGGCACTCCAAGTGGCCAGATACTGGTCAAAGGACATTTAATCAGCTAAAGTTTGCAAAATTTGTGTTTTTTTAAAATCTGTTTGTTTGTTTTGTTCTTTTAGAAATGTAATACAATGTTCTGGTTGCGAATGGCACGATAAATAAATAAATAACCCACGGATTGAGGTGCTGGGTTTGAGCCTGCCACTTTTGGACTCTCGCTTCCTGAGGTGTTCCAGCGAGTGTCTCTGTAGATCTAAGAAAACTATTTCTTGATTTAAGTCGTTGACGTGCTGGCTGATACCCAAACAGGGGATGAGCTGGAGATGTCTCTGCCTTGGTCCTTTCACTATTGGCTGCTACTTCCCAGCGGATGTCAGGTGGTGCAATACTGGCTAAGCAGTGTAATTTCTCCAGTGGTGTAGGGCGCAGACACCCCGTGATAATGCGGCATGTCTCATTAAGAGCCACATCCACTGTTTTAGTGTGGTGAGATGTGTTCCACACTGGGCATGCATACTCAGCAGCAGAGTAGCATAGAGCAAGGGCAGATGTCTTCACTGTGTCTGGTTGTGATCCCCAGGTTGTGCCAGTCAGCTTTCGTATGATATTATTTCTAGCACCCACTTTTTGCTTGATATTCAGGCAGTGCTTCTTATAGGTCAGAGCACGGTCCAGAGTGACTCCCAGGTATTTGGGTGAACTGCAATGCTCCAGTGGGATTCTTTCCCAGGTCATCCTCAGAGCTCGGGATGCTTGTCTGTTCTTAAGGTGAAAAACACATGTCTGTGTTTTAGATGGATTAGGGATCAGTGTTTTCCCTGTAATAGGCAGTAAGAGCACGTAGAGCTTCGGAGAGCTTCTGTTCTACCATCTCAAAGCTTGCCCTTGTGCCGTTACACCCAGACGCTTTAAAATAAAACTTTGACGTGCTGCTATCTATGTCTGGGCGAAACTGCTGGGGTCTTTCTTTAGGCAGATTGAGCTTTCTTGAATAACCGAGTCCACTTCAATTTTAAACATTAAACAGGGTATTTATTAACAAAGTCCTTGTAGACTTGGCTCAGCTTATTAATGTTACCAACAATCAATGAGTAAAGTATAGAGACAAGTTTTCTTATATACAGATATTGAGGCACCTTTCCTCCAAAAGGTATAATGAATTGTGGAATTCTTCTACCCTAATCTTGAGCCCCTATGGTAAGAAAAAGCAGGTTTTTCTCCTATCTATAACTCAAAATCAGCTTTGGAGGCAAATGCCCAATACTATCTATCTAAATACTCAATAGCTCTTCTATTGATCTATCTATAATTTCTCTATAGCATAATAAACTCTATCTGTATTCAATTATTCCCTATAGCTCAATAACTCAATGAATCTATCTATCTATCTATCTATCTATCTATCTATCGGTCTCAATTAAACTCAATTAATCTATTATACTAAATTGTTTTTACAATGGTATTTTCGGAGGTACCTGTCTGCCAACAGCACATCATGGATTCTTCCTTAAGGCTGAAGGGGCAGGGAGACCTCCAAAATGGCTGCTTCTACCCTGGAAGCAGGGGCAGGCCCAAAGAGCTACTCTTTGGCCAATCATTGCAGAGGGCCTGCAAACTGGCTTTCCTGCTTCTGGCTGCTAACTTTTTAGGCCTTGCAGAGGCTGCAGCAGCCTGGGAGAAACTCAAGGAGAGGCTGTTTCCAGCAACTTAAAGGTAATGCAAAACCCAGTCTCCTGGGAGACGGAACAGCCCTCCTTGAGCAGTAATGGCACGATCATCAGCATAGATGAAGCTCTCCATCCCTTCTGGCAGTGGCTGGTCATTTGTGTAGATGTTGAACATGGATGGAGCAAGCACGCTCCCCTGAGGCAGGACATTATTCTGTTTCCGCCATCTGCTTCTCTGGCCCTGGAACTCAACAAAAAAGCTCCTGTTTTGTAGCAGGTTTCCTATGAGGCGGGTGAGGTGGTCGTCCTTTGTGATATTATACTTTTTTCTCAGGAGGAGGCGGTGGTTCACAGTATCATAGGCCGTTGACAGGTCTATGAAGACAGCCGGGGATGCTGTTGTCTAAAAAGCTGGAAGGCATTTCGGACTCCAACTCCCAGAATGCTTTGCCATTGACCAAGGCAGCCGAGGCTTCTGGGAGTTGAAGTCCTGGGCTTTGAAAGGCTGGGCAGCAGGGAGCTAGGCCAATCACAGCGCGGCTGCTGTTCCCATGGCAACGCAACCCGACCGGCGGCCATCTTGACGCCTGGATGTGTAGGCCTCGCAGAGAGAGAGAGGAAGGAGCGCTTTCGTCGCGATGCTGGTGCCGGTCTTCACGCTCAAGCTGAGCCACAAGATCCTGCCCCGGATGGTGGCCCTGGGCAAGTACGACGGGACCCACCCCTGCCTCACGGCGGCCACCCAGGCCGGAAAGGTAGGCCTCAACTCAAGCCTGGCCTGCCTGCCTTGACAAGGCCTTGGCCTGGCCTGTCTTCCCTATGGGGTTGTTGCTGTAGGCCTTCTGCCGCTGAGAGAGAGCGACCACATTGAAACACATGCCCTGCTCCTGGTTTGAAAGCCTTATTCCAATTCAAGAGAGATATTGACAAGCTGGAATGTGTCCAGAGAAAGAGGGCGACTAAAATGATCAAGGGTCTGGAGAACAAGCCCTATGAGGAGCGGCTTAAGGAGCTGGGCATGTTTAGCCTGAAGAAGAGAAGGCTGAGAGGAGATATGACAGCCATGTATAAATATGTGAGAGGAAGCCACAGGGAGGAGGGAGCAAGCTTGTTTTCTGCTTCCCTGGAGACTAGGATGCGAACAATGGCTTCAAACTACAAGAGAGGAGATTCCATCTGAACATGAGGAAGAACTTCCTGACTGTGAGAGCCGTTCAGCAGTGGAACTCTCTGCCCCGGAGTGTGGTGGAGGCTCTTTCTTTGGAAGCTTTTAAACAGAGGCTGGATGGCCATCTGTCAGGGGTGATTTGAATGCAATATTCCTGCTTCTTGGCAGGGGGTTGGACTGGATGGCCCATGAGGTCTCTTCCAACTCTTTGATTCTATGATTCTATGAATGCCTCTAGAACAGTGGTTCTCAACCTGGGATCTCCAGATGTTTTTGGCCTTCAACTCCCAGAAATCCTAACAGCTGCTAAACTGGCTGGGATTTCTGGGAATTGTAGGCCAAAAACATCTGGGGACCCCAGGTTGAGAACCACTGCTCTAGACTATGGCCATATAGCTCGAAAAAACCTACAACAACCCATTTGCAGGATTTTGCAGAGGCAACGCTGATGGAATCGTTCCAGGAGTTGCATGTGACGTAGAATCATAGAATCCTAGAGTTCGAAGAGACCTCATGGGCCATCCAGTCCAACCTCCTGCCAAGAAGCAGGAATATTGCATTCAAAGCACCCCTTTTTTTTGTTGTGTCAGCAGTGACTTGAGAAACTGCAAGTCGCTTCTGGTGTGAGAGAATTGGCCGTCTGCAAGGACGTTACCCAGGGGACGCCAGGATGATTTGATGTTTTATCATCCTTGTGGGAGGCTTCTCTCATGTCCCCGAATGAGGAGCTGGAGTTGATAGAGGGAGCTCATCCGCACTCTCCCCGGATTCGAACCTGCAACCTGTCGGTCTCCAGTCCTGCTGGCACAGGGCTTTAACCCACTACGCTACCAGGAGCTCCACCAAGAGCACCCCTGACAGATGGCCATCCAGCCTCTGTTTAAAAGTTTCCAAAGAAGGAGCCTCCACCACACTCCAGTGCAGAGAGTTCCACTGCTGAAAGGCTCTCACAGTCAGGAAGTTCAATGTATTGTCGAAGGCTTTCATGGCCAGAATCACTGGGTTGTTGTAGGTTTTTTCGGACTATATGGCCATGGTCTAGAGGCATTCTTTCCTGATGTTTTGCCTGCATCTCTGCCAAGCATCCTCAGAGGTAGTGATGTCTGTTGGAACTAGGAAAAAGGGTTTATATATCTGTGGAATGACCAGGGTGAGACAAAAGACTCTTGTCTGCTGGAGCTAGGTGTGAATGTTTCAACTGATCACCTTGATTACCATGGTCTGACAGTGCCTAGAGCAAACTTTTGTTGAGAGGTGATTAGATGTCCTTGTTTGTTTCCTCTCTGTTGTTGTGCTATTGTAATTTTAGAGGTTTTTTAATACTGGTAGCCAGATTTTGTTCATTTTTATGAACAGGAAGTTCTTATTTATTTATTTATTTATTTAATACACTTGTATACCGCTAATATCTCAGCCTAAGTCGGCGACTCATTGCGGTTTACAACAATTAAAAACAATATACAATTTAAAACAACAACACATAGACAATACAAATTATTGGGCCACCAATAATAATACCATGTATCTCGTCACTAAAATCACAGTCCAGAATTCGTCATCCAAATTAACCAGTCCTTAGTCCATAAAATTCGGTGATAACAAACTAACCGAATGCTTGTTTACACAACCATGTTTTTAATCTCTTCCGAAACACCATCAGCGAAGAGGCTGATCGTATCTCTATAGGGAGGGTGTTCCAAAGCCGAGGGGCCACCACAGAAAAGGCCCTGTCTCTCGTTCCCACCAGCCGCACTTGGGAAGCCGGTGGGATAGAGAGCAGGGACTCTCCAGAAGATCTAAGGGTCCTGGTGGGCTGATAGGCTGAGATACGTTCGGATAGATAAGTTGGGCCAGAACCGTTTCTTCCTCATGTTCAGATGGAATCTCCTTTCTTGTAGTTTGTTCCGTGTCCTAGTCTCCAAGGAAGCAGAAAACAAGCTTGCTCCCTCCTCCCTGTGGCTTCCTCTCACATATTTATACATGCCTATCATGTCTCCTCACTGCCTTCTCTTCTTCAGGCTAAACATGCCCAGCTCTTCAAGCCGCTTCTCATGGGGCTTGTTCTCCAGACCCTTGATCATTTGAGTCGCCCTCCTCTGGACACATTCCAGCTTGTCAATATCTCTCTTGAATTGTGGTGCCCAGAATTGGACACAATATTCCAGGTGTGCTCTAACCAAGGCGGAATAGGGCATGGGGAGCATGACTTCCCTAGATCTAGACACTATGCTCCTATTGATGCTGGCCAAAATCCCATTGCTTTTTTTGCCGCCACATCACATTGTTGGCTCATGTTTAACTTTTTGTCCACAAGGACTTCAAGATCTTTTTCACACGTACTGCTCTCGAGCCAGGCCTTGTCCCCCATTCTGTATCTTTGCATTTTGTTTTTCTTGCCAAAGTGGAGTATCTTGCATTTGTCACTGTTGAACTTCATTTTGTTAGTTTTGGCCCATCATCTCTCTAATCATCACACAGTCCTGGACACTTGGGAAGTGTCAGACGTGGGCTGTCTGTAGACAGTCCACGTCTCGCAGGCATATAGCAGGATTGGGAGGACAACAGCTTTATAAACAAGCACCTTGGTATCCCTATGGATGTCCCGATCCTCAAACACTCTCTGCTTCATTCGGAAAAATGCTACACTCACAGAGCTCAGGCGGTGTTGTATTTCAGTGTCAATGTTGACTTTTGTGGAGAGGTGGCTGCCAAGGGAGCGGAAATGGTCAACATTTTCTAATGTTCCACCATTTAGCTGTATTTCTGGCATTGGAGAGGGATTGGCCCGTTATTTATTTATCGTGTCAGGGGCAGACCAGACAGTTGCATTGCATTTCTTAACAAACAAACCAACAAAACACAAAGTTTGCAAGCTTGGTAGTTGATCAAATGTCCTTTGACCAGTATCTGGCCACTTGGAGTGTCTCTGGTGTTGCCGCAAGAAGGTCCTCCATTGTGCATGTAGCAGGGCTCAGGTTGCATTGCAGCATATGGTCTGTAGTTTGCTCTTCTCCACACTTCGTAGCCCCATTTCTTAAGGTTAGCTCTACATCTCGTGGTGCTAGAGCGGAGTCTGTTCAGCACCTTCCAAGTCGCCCAGTCTTCTGTGTGCCCAGGAGGGAGTCTCTGATTTGGTATCAGCCATTGATTGAGGTGCTGGGTTTGAGCCTGCCACTTTTGGACTCTCGCTTGCTGAGGTGTTCCAGCGAGTGCCTCTGTAGATCTTAGAAAACTATTTCTTGATTTAAGTCGTTGAAGTGCTGGCTGATACCCAAACAGGGGATGAGCTGGAGATGTCACTGACTTGGTCCTTTCACTATATTACACTTTATAAAAACATTTGGAAAAAAAAACTGTTCTTGATTTGAAAGTTTTATTTCCCTTTCGTCTCTTGACTTCCCGGAAGGTATTCTCACATTGTACACACGGGAAAAAAAAAAGCTTGCTAAAAAAAAGGCTCTTTCTGTCCAAAGTGGAAGAACACTGAGCTAAAACTTTACAGGGTCCACTAGGAAAGATTTGCAGAATTTAATGTACTCAAGGAACATCAGACCAACACAAACCATTCATTTGTGATGAATACAGGGGCTTATGGATAATAAATAACACTATGGAAGAAAAATTTAAAAAATATGTTTCTGTTCAGAAAATGTTATTTCTTGTTTAATTGTGTGATCCTTATTTTTGTTGCACCTCAGAGTAGATTCACCTTGCTGAAAAACACCAAACTACACACAGCCAAAAGTCTTTGTTCTTTATTAAAAATAAAAGATAAAAAGTTCCTAAAAGCAAAAGTAAATGTTCCAAAAGATCAATATAAAATAGCACTTGGAAGTTTAATCCAAAAAGGCACCAGCAAAACAGAAACCGAAGAGAACATTTATTTATGTATTTATTTATTTCAAGTATTTCTACCCCGCCCTTCTCCACCCCCGAAAGGGGACTCAGGGCGCTTACAAAAGGCACAATTTGATGCCAGCAATACACATAGTAAGATAAAATACATAGCAGCAACAATTATAAATAGTTAAAACAATCCAATTATCCAATAACAACTAATAAAAGCCAATCTAGTGTTCAACGTTAGCCAAGTTCAAAATCCGTAAGTTCATTCCGCATTGTCATAATCCTATCCAACTCTAGTCATCATTGTCCTTTGTCTATCTGCCAGATTACCCAAAGGTCTGGTCCCATATCCATGTTTTTAGTTTCCTTCTGAAAGAGAGGAGGGATGTTGATGACCTAATTTCCCCAGGGAGAATTCCACAGGCGAGGGGCCACCACCAAGAAGGCCCTGCTCCTCGTCCCCACCAACCTCACTTGTGATAGAGGTGGGGTCGAGAGCAGGGCCTCCCCAGAGGATCTTAAACTCCGAGGCAGGACGTAGAAGGAGATGCGTTCGGACAGATACGCTGGGCCGGAACCGTATAGGGTTTTGTAGGTCAAAAACACAAGAACCGCAAGAATAATCCAGACAAAACAAAGGCAAGCTTCTTGGTAAAACGCAAAGCTGCTTTGACAAAGGTTTGGTCTCAAACACAGTGTTTAATACCCTTTGCAAAACATGAAGACGTTTTTCTGGCCTCTGGCCTCCTTCTTGTTAGCTATTCTCACACTCCTTCGGACTCTGAATTCCAAACGGTCAGCCCGATCTAAGGTTCCCATTTCATCAAGGTCAGTCTGTTTGTTAGTGTCAGCCTGTTTCCCTGCTTGCTCATTATCATTATCAAGCTGAGAACTGTCCTCCTTCTCTGAGTCAAACTGCACCTGCACCTGGCTATTTTCAGTATCAACACTTTCATTCCTTGCTGTGGGAAACTGCACTTCTTCACTGTCTATAACAGGGACATTTTGAACCAGGCTGTGAACCTGAGTCCCATCATCCTCATCAGAGACACTCTGTGGTTCCAGCGGAGTCACAACAATTTTGTTCTCCCCCAGGAATTTCATTTTGTGACACAAACTATGTTAAATGGGTTGACACTCTATGAGATATTTATGAGAAAACTGTCGCAAAACATCTTCAGAATGTCCCTCCCACAGAAACAATTTTTTTGCAGTTTAATCAACTTTTTTCGTAATTTTATGATAGAACCAATTAGGAAATGACATCTATAACCCAGGAACAAAAAAGTGTGTTACATAGTGTTATCCGTGTAGATGTGACTATAGGAATAATTGTACAGTTCCCAAATGCTGTTGTTCCAGCCCTCACAATTGCTGTTGCCTCTCCCTTTTGTTTCGTGTTTCCAGGTTTTCATCCACAATCCCCATGCGCGTAGCCAGCGTGTCAATACGAACCGTTTGGTGCTGAGCACCCAGGATGCGGATATCTCTCTCCTAAACATCAATGAGGCCGTCAGCTGTTTGACTGCAGGGGTGCTGAACCCCGACCTTGGCTGTGATACCCTTCTTGTTGGCACCAGGACCAGTTTGTTGGCGTACGATGTGCACAACAACGCAGACTTGTTTTATGCAGGGGTATGCTCATTTCAATTGTTTTTTTTTATCCCTCTTTATCTCATAGTCATATCCAAGCAGTTAGAGCATTTGGATTACTTTGTTCAAGTAGAGGCAGTGTCCAAGTTACAAACACCTGACTTACAAATGACTCATAGTTAAGGACAGAGGTGAGACAATAGGAAGTGAGAGAAATCTACCTCTCGGAAGGGAAATTCACTTCTGGAAGAGTTATTATCATGGAAAAAAGTGGTTTTCGCTGAAACTTTATCCCTAATCCTTGTTTCCAAAACAAGCAGGTTTTAATTACAATTGCAGCAAGCAGGTAGTAAATGATTCAGAATGATGTCTTCAAAATTATTATTCAACTAACTTCTAAAAGCATACATCTGTTTTGCTGAAGTTTCTAAGCCAGTGTTTCTCAACCTGGGGGTCAGGACCCCGGGGGGGGGGCGCAAGGGGGTGTCAGAGGGGTTGCCAAAGACCATCAGAAACCACAGTATCTTCTGTTGGTCTTGGGAGTTTTGTGTGAGAAGTTTGGCCCAATTCTATCATTGGTGGGGTTCAGAATGCTCTTTGGTTATAGGTGAACTATAAATCCCAGCAACTACAACTCCCAAATGTCAAGGTCTATTTCCCCCAAACTCTGCATTTGGGAATATTGAATATCCATGGTAAGTTTGGTCCAGATCCATCATTGTTTGAGTCCACAGTACTCTCTAGATGTAGATGAACTACAACTCCAAAACTCAAGGTCAATGCCCACCAAACCCTTCCAGTATTTTCTGCTTGTCATGGGAGTTCTGTGTGTCAAGTTTGGTTCAATTCCATCATTGGTGGAGTTCAGAGTGCTCTTTGATCCCAGAAACTACAACTCCCAAATGGCCAAATCAATCCTTCCCAGCCCCTCCAATGTTCAAATTTGGGCGTATCAGGTATTTGTGCCAAATTTTGTCCAGCGAATGAAAATACATCCTGCATATCAGATATCTACATGACGATTCATAACAGTAACAAAATTGCAGTTATGAAGTGGAAATGAAAATAATGTAATGGTTGGGGGGGGGGGGTAATCACAACATGAGGAACTGTATTCAGGGGTTGTGGCATTAGGAAGGTTGAGAGCCACTGCATGTTCCTGCTGGCGCCTGAAAGTTAAACAGTTCTAAAATGGAGTCTGAGCCCTGAACAAGCCCAGTTCTGATCACATGGTTTGAAACAACAGAGTTAAGGTAAAATTGCATACCAGTACACACATATACAATACAGTAATCAATCTGAATTATATAGGGTGCAGCAGCATAACTTCTTTTTTTCAAAACTTAATAAAACCCATTGTATGAATCAGAATTTTTATATATATATATAATGTAGGCGCATACCTAAAGTTTGTTTTATGTAGTTTTGAAGATCAAATTAGGTAGGTGACGTCCCCCGTTCTCCATACACTGAGTAAACCGATTTCTGGTGTTTGTCCTGACTCTTGCCAGCATAGCAGGTGTTATGTTGGCACTTTCTTCCCTGGATGTTGGTCTTCAAATCTTGTAGGGTCCTTGGACGGTTCACAGAAACACGGGATTTCAAAAAACCCCATAGAAGAAAATCACAAGGGGCCAAATCTGGAGAGCGGGGCGGCCACTCCAAATCCCCCCGAATTGAGATGAGGTGCTCTGGGAAGTGTTCCCTCCAAACAGCCATCGATGCTCTTGAAGTGTGCGCAGTTGCACCGTCTTGTTGGAACCAAATGTCCCCTGAGTCCAACCCATCTAGCCGTGGGGAAAAAAAATTCCTGTAACATGTTTACATACTGGTCTGAATTCACTGTCACTGCGACTTCATTTTCCTCAAAGAACCAGGGACCAAAAATTCCAGCGGAGGAAATGGCACACCACACTGTGATTTTAGGTGAATGTAATCTTGAGGATTGTTGTCAGCCCAGTAGCACTTGTTTTGTTTATTTGGTTTTTTTATCGTGTCATCAGCAACCAGACATTTGTATTACATTTTTAACAAAAACAAACAAACAAACAGACAGACAGACAAAACACAGAATTTGTAAGCTTGGTAGTTGATTAAATGTCCTTTGACCAGTATCTGGCCACTTGGAGTGCTTCTGGTGTTGCTGCAAGGAGGTCCTCCATTGTGCATGTGGCAGGGCTCAGGTTGCATTGCAGCAGGTAGTCTGTAGTGTGCTCTTCTCCACACTTGCATGTCGTGGATTCCACTTTGTGGCCCCATTTCTTGAGGTTGGCTCTGCATCTCGTGGTGCCAGAGCGCAGTGTGTTCAGCGCCTTCCAAGTCGCCCAGTTTTCTGTGTACCCAGGGGGGAGTCTCTCATTGGGTATCAGCCATTGGTTGAGGTTCTGGGTTTGAGCCTGCCACTTTTGGACTCTCACTTGCTGGGGTGTTCTAGCGAGTGTCTCTATAGATCTTAGAAAACTATTTTTTGATTTAAGTCGTTGACGTGGTGGCTGATACCCAAACAAGAGATGGGCTGGAGATGTCCCTGCCTTGGTCCTTTCACTATTGGCTGCAACTTCCCGGCGGATGTCAGGTGGTGCAATACCGGCTAAGTAGTGTAATTTCTCCAGTGGTGTAGGGCGCAGATACCCTGTGATAATGTGGCATGTCTCATTAATAGCCACATCTACTGTTTTAGTGTGGTGAGATGTGTTCCACACTGGGCATGCGTACT